GTCGTCACGTCACCCAGTTGCAATGCCAAGTGTAAAAAGAATTGGGGTAAACCATATAAAAAGAAATTTGTGGTGATTTTCTCGAAAAATTACTGTTTTTTTATCTACGTGTTAGAGAAGCTATTATGAATTTAACATACTTTGTAAAACAACGCGGTGCATGGTAAATTGTTTTAAAATTATGCCCAATATATAATTAATTTCTTTTATGTTTATATTTATGTAAAAAAGTTATTTTTTTATTTATTTTTTTTGTTAAAATCTTTAAATATTATTTTACAAATTATTTATAACTCGATAAATTTTTATTTTTGCATGAAATTACACAATACGTATAATCTAGTATAGAAATATTTTGAGAGTAAGTAATTTAAAATATAAATAATTTTATAACTAATATTTCTTTTACAAAATGATGATGATGATAAGAAATATTTTATAATTTTAAAAAATTTATAAATTTCATATATTTTTAAAAAATTTATTGACTTTTAAAATTAATTGTTTAAAAATAAAAAAAATATTAATATAAACTTTTAATTACAATTGAGGGATTAAATGAATTATTATTCATTAATTATTATTTTTTAACAATATTTAATAATGTTTATTCATTTTTAATAAAATTAGAATTTAATATTTATTTAATATTTTTAAAATTAATATTAGAAATAATATTTTAAATATATATGTGATATTTTTTAGCTTTACATTCTTTTTTATTGAATTTTGTTATAAGTTTAGAGAGTAACACAAAAGAAAGGAAAATTTTTAAATTTTCATGTATATATTTATACTTTTCTTTTAGAAACATTTTACCATAATTTTTTTAATTAATTTGAATAATAGCATAATAAATGATTAATTTGAATTATAACTCGTATATTTAAAAGTCAATAAAAATACAATAAAAAAATTAAAAAAGAATAAAAATCAATAAAAAAAGAAGAAGGTAAAGCTAAAAAATATCACATATATATTTAAAATATTCTTTCTAATATTAATTTTAAAAAATATAAAATAAATATAAAATTCTAATTTTATTAAAAATGAATAAACATTATTAACTGTTGTTAAAAAAATAATAATTAATGAATAATAATTCATTTGATCCCTCAATTGTAATTAAAAGTTTATTTTAATATTTTTATATTTTTAAACAATTAATTTTAAAAATCAATAAATTTTTCAAAAATATATGAATTTTATAATTTTTAAATTATAAAATATTTATTATTATCATCATCATCATTTTGTAAAAGAAATACTAGTTATAAAACTTTTATAAAATTATTCGTATTTTAAATTACCTACGCTCAAAGTTTTCCTATACTAGATTGTATGTATTGTGTAATTTCATGCAAAAATCAAAATTTGTCAAGTTATAAAATAATTTACAAAAAAGATTTAAAGATTTTAACGTAGAAATTTTTTTTTGCACGGACAAAAAATAAAAAAATTTGACGTTTTTACACAAAACTCACCCTAACATAAATTAATTACATATTAGGTACTATTTTAAAAAACTTTACGAAACTAGCATCCAGTCTTTACACGTGGCATAAGACGCGGTGTATGGGTTGTACTTTTCTGTAAAGGTACTAGATCTAATATTTTTTCTAACGATGTCTAACACGTAAATAATAAAAAAAATTAGTGATTTTTCGGGAAAATCGCCGAAATTTGTTAAATGTTGATTAAGTAAACCTAAAACATAGTTAATTGAACAATGAAAAGAAATATCATTTCCATATGATTGAACAAGTGAAATGAACCTCCAATATTTATGAATTCATTGACTAACATTCCTTTGTTTCCCTCCGAAAATCAAGCAAAAAGCCTTTCCTTTATTCACACACATCATAATATAATCAAAATTTAATCTTTCTATTTTATAACCACAATCAAAATTTTAAAGAGTTATTACTCTCAAATTATCAAGTTAATCTAATATAATCAAACTTTAATCTTTTGTTAGCAATTGACATTATTCAAACAATTATCATCATTAATAATAACAAAAATATTATATAAATTTCATAATTAATAATTTGTTCGAAATATGATCATTCTAACGAGAAAATGAGCTCTCTTATTAGCATCCTATGCCAAAAGGTATCATGCGTCCATCAACCAAAGAAACGATGATATTAAAAGGAAAAATAAAATAAACTAGCTTGCATAAATAATATAAAAATTTATACGAGACAAGAAATTTTTTTACTATTTTTATAAGAAACAAGGAAATTTTATTAAATAAATTAAAATATTGAATCTATAAAATAAATTATAGATTAGCAAAAGATAACTTTGAAAATTCGAAAAGAATAGTAGGTTGGGTACTCAACCTACAAACTATTGTATCATAAATATTTGATAATAAAAAATATTGTTCTTTCTTAAGTTCTTGGATTCAAATAATTGTATTCACAAAATATATGCATTATAAATTGATTAAAAGAAATTTCAACTATTCAATATATATATATATATATATATTCTTTAAAACCGATAAATTAGGCTAATGACGTGTATCATGCACGTTGAATAACTTCAAATCTTATCTAATTATTTATTATTATAAAAAGACTTAATTTATTAAATATATGTTAAAAATATTTTATCAACACATAGTACAACTATATTGTAAACCTAGCAATCGGTTCGCTGAAATATTAATCATATGAAAATTATAAAAACATGTGAAATTTATTTAATTTTCCACTAATACTTATCCATAATCATTGTAGAAAGATAATTTTTTTATAATGTTTACTGTTTAGATAGACATCGAGCAGACTGAGGTATGATTAGCAATTATCGGAAGCATTATCTTGTTGAAACGATTTTTTTCAAGTGAAAGCGAGATTTTGAAAATCATATTATTTTTAATTATTTTTTTTACGATTAAATTTTAATTAAAAATAATGCGATTTTAAAAAATCTTGGGATTTCTTAACTATAAAAAACATAAGGTTCGAGGAGTCGCCACCAATCTTTGATTATGATGTGATTGGACACCCAAAAACGTTTTGCCATTTTAAATAAAAATATATTTTAATTAAAACGACAAGTAGAGGTATGCGTTACCAGAAAATGAGTTCGGGAGTCGGTTACGCGTAAGGAAGGATTAGCACTCCCACAGTGCCCTAAATCGGTACCTAGTCGATTAATTAATATCTTTGCAACGAATTTTATAAATTCAACTTTAATTTAATTTTTGATCCCTTAAAACAACAAAAGTGCAAATTTTATAACATTCAAAAGCAACGAAATAGGTTAAATTAAAATTATCAAGCCATTAATATTCGATTATTTAAAAATATTGAGACCAGATCTTTAGGTCAGTTCTAACGACCTTTTCTCAACAAATTTAAATAGTCAAACATTTCTTTTTCTTTCATTCCCAAATTTTAAAGTGAAGAATCAAATTTTTTAATGACAATGACGGGATACACTTGTAATTTAAAATCGTCAAGAACAACTTTCCTGTAAGTTAAGGAAAGCCATTCTGACAGTTTTAAATTAAAAGGGTATTACCCTTAATCCAATTATGTGATAATGTCGAGTTGAGTTATGCACATGAGGGTAACATACATATTATGTAAACAATGATGCCAAGTAATTTATAATATCAAACATCTCATGCAAGAATACATATACATATACGATAAATCAGTGTACGTGAATCCTACTTATTATTTTAGACATGCTTATGAAGGTATTCTATTTTAGAAGATAAAACTACATGCAATTAAAATTATAAGTTAGCAATAAATCTACATGATTTTATACCAATTAAAATAATAAAGATATTTGTAAAAAAAATACATTATATACTATAAATAAAAAAACATAGTACGTATATACATGTAAACATACACCCAAAATTATGCACAAAATATATATGTTAACATACCAATGCTCATATTACCCACTATTCATTATTCATAGGATTTTAAAACAAATGCATTCATGCATACATATAATACGTATTTAAAAATTTTAGGCACAGACAAACCCATGCATATATGGTTTTGTATGTGCACGTATTTAAAATGGACCACCATGCCAAATGACAAACAAATGAAAAAAAAATTATTTACATATATTTTGTAATTATAAACTATAAACTATATATATTAACATGTAATGCAAAAATGTGTCTTAAATACAAAAATAAAAACATAACATGCGAAACTATACATTAAAAAATATACATATTAAAATAATAATTAAATTTAAATACATAAAATTAAACAAACAAATAAAAAAATTAAAACAAGACTTAAATTATTGAAAATCAAAGTTAAAGGTCAGAAATAAAGTAAAGGTAAAAGAAATGGGTTAAATTGAATGATGCATTAAAACTAGATGACCATGGAAAAATATTTACTGAAAATAGTTGAAGCACCAGGGGAATAATTTACCACAAAGTCCAAATTCCAGTTGGTTTAATTATTTCCTCGACATTTCATATGGAATGGGTTCCAGGTATTTCATCACCGTGAAATGGATGAAAACGTTCGGTGTTATTTCGCTTGATCCGTTCAGTCGGGAAATTTACTGAAAATAATTGAAGCACCAGGGGAAGAATTACCACAAAGTCCAAATTCCTGTTGGCTTAATTATTTCCTCGACATTTCATATCTGGAATGGGTTCCAGGTATTTCATTCATCACCGTGAAATGGATGAAAACTGTTCGGTGTTATTTCGCTTGATCCGGTTCAGTCCACCGTCGGATCATCTCGAGTTTTTGGTATGTTGCTCGCCTCTTTCTCTTCTACTTTTTCACCGTTCAAAATGTCGAGATATCGCTCCGATCGCCGGTGAACGGATGAACACCGAAGAATGAGCCTTTCTCCTTTCCTTTTTTATCATCCAGCAAAAACAGCCCCCCGAAGCTACCTAAGCTGACGAAGATACATCCTACGACACAGACGAAAATTGCAAACTCCTACTCCAGCTACAAACTAACAACTAAAGGTAAACTCGATCGAACCCTTTTTCCTTTTTAATATTCTCATAGGTTTTGATGGATTTTTTTTTTTTTGGGTTATTCTCTTTTTTTTTTCATGTCGATTGTTCTTGTTCCATGCCGTGAATCACGAGACCCTTGTAACTCCAAAGAGCTCCTATGACTCTCAGGTAATGAATCAAAAAAGAACTTTCTTTTTTATTTATCAAAAGAAATAAATATACTATGTTGCTTGTAAAAGAAATGGTAAAATCGAATATAAGAAATGATGAGACCTTGTTTACTATTGCTTTCAAATGAGAGAAAATCCTCTTGTTACATTGCTTGATGCCTGAATACCAAGAGAAGGAACTCTTTTTTTTCTATTTCGAATTCAGTAAAAGAAAACCCCGTTACATTCCCCTGTTTACAGTTTCTTCTGTCTGATTTTTGCCCGTTGTTGATAATCGAACCCCATCTTTTTCTGATAATCCCCCTCTTTTGTTACAAGTATTTCGAATAGGATTCCCCCCTCCTTGATTTATTTCTTTTTCCTCACCGAATCTTGTTACATGCTAATTTCTTTCTGTTTGGTGAGATTTTGATTGGAGCAGGTGAAATCATGTGAATCTCTTTTGACTTTGTTGAATGATTTGTGCAGCTTCAATGGTAGTATGATTGGCAGCTTCAATGATGGCATGATTGACGGTATCTTATTCACACAGATGGGAACAACTCCTGGGCTTAAACCAAGTTACTTATAATTATTTTAGGTTGGATTTTTGTTGGGTTTCATTTGTTGAGTCTGAATCTTGAGCTTGCAATTAATTTGATTTGTAATTGGGCTTCAAAGATGTAAATGGACTTTAGACACTTAAATTTGTATTTGGGATTGAATTTCAATTTGTGTCTCGATTTTCAAAATGAACATATACGGTTTTAGTCCAATTAAGTACCTCAAGCTTTCAAACACAAACTTTCATGATTTATCATTTGAATTAATTCCTCATCGAGCACCAACATCTGTAAATTAATTTCTGATCATCTTTAAGTGAATTTAAATGGTCCGGACAAAATTAGGGTATTATAGTTGTTTCTCTTTGCTCGTTGTTGTGAACACAAGAATGTAGCAAAGATAAAAAATAACCTAATTTTGTCTAATCGCGGCATCTTTTTCCCTTTTTCAGTCTTCTTCTTGACTTTCGCCTCCATCTCACGTGCATAAACCTTTTTAATCAATTATTCCGCTTCTTCGTACCCGAGAATCTTCGATTTCCTTCCACATTTGATGATCTGATGGTTTGCTCCAACATCTTGGTGAAAAACATCCTGTCCGAAGGTCTTATGGATGACCCGAAGGATTTATTCTCTTGCTCGAGAGACTCATAAATAACCCGAAGGATTTAAGCTTCATGCTCGAAAGACTTACTGATGGCTCGAAGGACTTATAAATTGTGAAATTTTAAAAATCAAATTCTTAGTTTTCAAAAATTTCATCTTCTTAAAACATCATTTTTATTTTCAAATTCATGTGAAAACATCATACCCGAAGGTCTTATGGATGGCCCGAAGGACTTATCATCTTGCTCAAAAGGCTTACAGATGACCCGAAGGATTTAAGCATCATGCTCGAAAGACTTACTGATGGCCCGAAGGACTTATAAATTGTGAAATTTTGAAAATAGCATTCTTCATTTTCAAAAATTCCATCTTCTTAAAACATCATTTTTTTCATTTTCAAATTCATGTGAAAACATCCTACCTGAAGGTTTTATGAATGGCCCGAAGGACTTATCATCTTGCTCTAAAGGCTTACAGATGACCCGAATGATTTAAGCATCATGCTCGAAAGACTTACTGATGGCCCGAAGGACTTATAAATTGTGAAATTTTAAAAATCGCATTCTTCGTTTTAAAAAATTTAATCTTCTTAAAACATCATTTTTCATTTTCAAATTCATGTGAAAATATCCTACCTGAAGGTTTTATGGATGGCCCGAAGGACTTATCATCTTGCTCTAAAGGCTTACAGATGACCTGAAGGATTTAAGCATCATGCTCGAAAGACTTACTGATGGCCCGAAGGACATATAAATTGTGAAATTTTGAAAATCGCATTCTTCGTTCTCAAAAATTCCATATTCTTAAAACATCATTTTTCATTTTCAAATTCATGTGAAAACATCCTACCCGAAGGTTTTACGGATGGCCCGAAGGACTTATCATCTTGCTCTAAAGGCTTACAGATGACCCGAAGGATTTAAGCATCATGCTCGAAAGACTTACTGATGCCCCGAAGGACTTATAAATTGTGAAATTTTGAAAATCGTATTCTTAGTTTTCAAAAATTTTATCTTCTTAAAACATCATTTTCATTTTCAAATTCATGCGAAAATATCCTACCCGAAGGTCTTATGGATGTCCCGAAGGACTTATCATCTTGCCCTAAAGGCTTACATATGAGTTTGCTTCATTACCTCTGGTAAAGGCTTAAGATGGTTTACTTTACTACTCTTCGGTGAAGGCTTAAGATTGACTTGCCCCAATTTCATGTGTGCAAGTCCTTCCAAACGATCGATTCACTTTTTCATACACAAAAATCTTTTTTTTCTTCTACATCTGATGGTCTTCACTTCAGAACAATGCTTCTTCTATGGATTAGACCTCTCTGTTCTTCAGGGTATGCCTCTTTAAATGTAACTCTTTGCGTTTGAGGTTTAAAATCTTCCTTTCAATCATCGGGATTTTAACATTCTGCATCTTCTCTTTTCGCTGGAAGATCTGTCAAAATCATGTATTTATGCAATAAACACGAATGCAATTCAATGTACCAGTGTAATGCATTTTCTTTTATGCAAATGATGTTTTCATGAATGCATAAATGTTGAATCAATCTTCACTTGGCTACAGAATAGTGAGCTCGATCTTCTTCCATTTGATCATTCTTTTCCAAGGTTTGTTCTAGATATTCGTGCAATGACTCATAATTTCCAATTTGCATTTTGGAAGAGCCCTCTGATCTTCTTCTATCTTCTTGTCATCTTTGTTTTGGAGAAAGTGTTTTCTTTCTCAACTTTTTGCTATAGTCAGAAGCATGATTGTGCTACCCCATTTTTCGCCCTTGGCTCAATTACATTTTCAGAGTTGCTCTTCCAGGACTCTGCCATTGATCGATGCTCAATTGATTTGTTTTACAAGGTAAGCTCTGCTCAAATTCATGGTCTGCCCCTGACACTTCAAGTTGCGAGACTCATTCTCAATAACTTCTTGGTCTGAATCTCGTTTTCTCATCATGACGTGGGTTCAGTTGTGCCCCAACCTTATCTTATACTGGTACAGGCCTTCAAAATGCCCCATCACCTCAAATTGTAAGGCTTATTCTTCATTCTTCCTTGGTTTGAATCTTGTCATCTCAACATGATATGGGTTCAGTCGTGCCCCCACATTATCTTATACTAGTACGGGCCTTCAAAATGCCCTATCACCTCAAATTGTAAGGCTCATTCTTCATGCCTCATTGGTCTGAAAGTTGTCATCTCAACATAATGTGGGTTCAGTCATGCCCCAATATATCCTAACTTGAATGTTCTCATTCAGGTGTCACTACACAGTAGTGTTGTCAAATAGTTTGAGAGCTTCTCTTCATATTGCCATAAAACACTTAAGAAGTTATCAATTTTCCTAACCAAATATCTTGCATTTTATACAAGTTGTTATATGTGCCCCTTCTGAACAATGGGGTCATCTCATTCTTGATGGGTTACTGACAACGTTACAAGGAAATGTTGTCAGTTCTATCATTCATCCATTCTAATCTCTTGGACCATCTGCTTTAAGATTGCATAATGCTTCATATCCTGGAATTGCGTATTCTTCTTCTCCAATGGAGGCACAATGAGCCTCACCAGCTTCAAGGACCTTTTACATTTGAACTGTCATGTTTGAAAATGTTTTTCTTCTTTCTCTTATTTCAAAGATCAAAGAATAAATTTTTTTATAAAACATTGCCCCTTAATTCAGGCTCAAAATCAAATCAAATCATAGACATAAGTTCACAGAATATCAAAAGAATCAATAGCTCTTTAATGTTTTTAGGGTTATAGCTCTTTGACAAGTGTTAAAATTGAGGGGTTGGCTTCAGGTTGGCTTCCTATTTTCTAAGGTTTCGACCACCAGAATGTCATTTCTTTCTTGATCATTGTGAATATCGCAACATGCCTTTCTTTCTTGGCTTGGTATTTTAATCAGATGCGGACAAAATGACGCAACTAGCATAATCAATTACTAGGCTTTCTAGAACACTTCCATTTGTTCAAGCTTCATAAGCTCCTCTAACAAAGGCAGTGCATAAATATCGGTCTAAAAATGAAATTTCTGAGTGCTCGTGTGAAATTGACTATAACAGGTGTTCCTTAACTCCCTTAGTCAAATCTTTACCGAAACTCCTTATTCATAAGATTAATTTAATTTGCCATTTTTTGGCTAGCTGAAATCAACTTTATTGTAATTTTCCTTTATCGGGCTAGCTGAAGGATTCATCTCATCACAAAGTCTTTGACTTGACAGTCACAGTGGAGCATACACCAAATTGCCAGGTACCCAATCAAGGTCATGGTTTGAAAATAATCTATTCATAAAACCAGGGCTTTCGAGTTTCCTCTATGACCAATTGCCTTAGCGGAATAGCTCAACTTTATTGTATACACATATTATATATATATATATTGTTGGGTATGCAGATTCAATTTCTTAAGCTTGTCAAGAAGAACCTGTCATAGTCTAGGTGTTGTTGAAAGTCAGAAAATCTCATCGTTAGAGTTCAATTTCCAAGCAACTGACCTAAACTAGATTCACCTACTCGACTATTCTGTCCGTAAAGATCATAATCATCATCGAACATCGTTAATAAAAGTATGGTCTAGACAGTTTTGTGATGTCATACAAAAGATGCCTCATGTTGTCCGCTCCTATGCATACCTAAATACCAAGCCTATGGTTCATTCCTTTATGATAGGAGAAGGCTATATCGGTCCCTGTAATAAAAGGCATGGTGTTCGAGTGTATCTTCTGGGGGTAAGGTCCAGGGTCCTTGTTTTATCAGGTTTCAACCTTGTCATCTTGTCAAAGATTTTATAACTCATCATTATTAAAGAACTTTTAATTCAATTGATATTCAAAGAATTTCAAGTCATAAGTTCGATTCAATGCTCACCATCCTTAAAGTAACATGAATTCATTTAAATATCACAAAAAACTGATGAGAAAGTCCAAGAAAACATGTTCAAACAAGATGTTGCAAATGACAAAAAATTTCATGATAAATGAAAAGATTTTTACGCAGTCAGGATGCCCCATTATTCCTCTGATGCAGTGGTGTTTGATTTGATCGGGTGCTGCACATTGTGCTCTGGTGCCCCACTTGAGCTCGTCATCCATTGTTTCACCAATTCTTGTGTCAATGTCCCATTTTTCACAAGCATCTCTATCTCCTTCAGCAGCGGCCTACAATTTCCCGTAGAATGCCCCAATGCCCCCAAGTGAAAATCACAGACACTATCTTGATCATAGCTGTGAGCAGAAGGGTCTGGTTGCACTTTCACTGGCATCGTGTGAGGTATTGACCTTTAACCAAATGGGGATACAAATCTGAGATAGAAGTTTGGAACACTTTCAAAGTATTTTTTGATCTTGGGACTTTCTTTGGACGACTCGAGTAACTTGCTGCCCCTTTTCTTTTACGGCTGTGGGAGCTCTGGACGTGACATTCATTCACCTCATCATCTTTTCCCTCTTGACCGGTTAGACATTTGGAGTGACCTTCAAGTTTCCTTTGTTGATTGCGTCTTCAATTGACTATCCAGCCAGCATAAGATCCTTAAAGCC